ATACGATATCACGTCATTCATGATTTCTCACACATATTGACATATGAGCAAAGTGATGTATTTTACACTTGCTATTTGGAAGGAAAATGAAATATTTTATTTATTGTAGAAAGGATATTTGGGAAAAAATACTATTCTCAATCTTACTCATGTTTTCAACGATTTCGGTAAAGGATTTGGGTTTTCACTGATATACTTGAAAAGTGGAACTATTTTTTGAGAAACTATGAATAAGTGGAGCATTTTATCTCTAAATTACTTTTTTTATTACTTGCTTTACGTTGTTATGAACTGTTGTTGGCTATTGGTGTTGGACCCGACCTTTATTCCAGCTCGTCACTACTTTCAACCAAATGTTAGGTTTATTACTTATTGAGTACATGTGGTCGGTTGTACTCATACTACCCTTCTGCACCTTGCGTGCAGATGTTAGATATTGATGTTGCTGTGATCGACGAGAGCTGGAATTGAAGACGTACCTGCGTTCCGGTTGTAGCTGCCTCTTGTTCATGGTAGCCTTAGATTTATAAAAATCTGTTTATGTACATTTCGAACAGATTATGTATTTATTTCATATCAGCTTTGTAAATTCTAATATTGGAAGCTCATGATTTGTACTACGAGTCCTTGAGAAATGTATAAGATTCAGATGTTTTCTTTCATTTGATTGTCTTATTAATATTATTGGAATTGGATAGTTGTTAATTGGCTTATCTAGCAGGTTGTGTTAGGTGTTATCACGACTAGTTGAATTTTGAGTTATGACAATTTTATATAAAAGCGAAAGTTGTTTTCTCTTTTTCTTTACTTTTCTTTTTCCATCACTCTTTAATTAACGAATAATGTGATTTTACTATGTGATTGTTACCATTAAAATTTTCTAAAGTGTAACAGTGCAATAAATTTTTATGTTGCTTTGGTTTCAAGCTGTGACCTACACACGTATGGCTCTGAATATTTAAAATTGTCTAAAGTGTTAAGAGTACAATAATTGTTTTCACTTTTTCTTTCTTTCTTATTATTCCATGTCATGTACTCATCTCAAAGACTTTCTTGGTCAGGTCGAAAGCTCTAAAGACACAATTTTTATTTAGCTTTTTAGCTGGTGGGTGGAGGAATCAGGAATGCAATTGCATGAATTCCAAATTTGTCCCTTGGAGTAGTACTGTCTGTTTATTTTTTTGACTGCTTTTTATTAAACAATAATGTTATCTTGCAACCTATGTGGCAATAAAGCCAAGCCTCATCCATTTATTCTTAAAATTCCAAAACAAATTCGTTAACACTCAGCAAGAGATGGCAAAAACCAATCTGTTATTTTGCAAGTTGTCCAACTCAAGTAAATTTGAATGGAGTGAATGACCCCAGTTAAGGAATTGACAGCTAGATTTTCACAATAATAAAAGTATGTACTAGTAAAAGAGAATATAATATATCTAGAAAATAACCTAAAACAAAGACGAATAGAAGTGGCACGTTATTACTTGTCCCAAAAATTTTTCCTAAAAAAACTCTCAAACACATGTGGCTACATCTTGTATTTTAATAAAGGAGAAGAAATGATCCTCATTCATACAAGTCCACACTTTTATACTTAAAAAAAAATGACTAGTCAAATATGAAAGATTTATAAAAACAAATCTGAAAAAATATTTTATTATAAATTCCGAATAATCTTCACAATTTTGTATTTCTCCACGAATAAAATAAGCTACTAATACCTTTATTTATAAAATTAAGAAATCTATTTCAACTAGAAATATGAAAACTTATTCTTATATAATTCTTACTACAAATCTTATTTAGACATGAATTAAATAAACTAACAAATATTAAATTTTAAATAATTTAGGTTTCCTATTACACGAATTAGTTTTCCAACAGAAAATCTAATTTTTTTAATTACTGGATTTTAAATTATACTTCTTAGATATTTAATTAAATTTTTGAGATAAATACTGAAAATGAATCAAATCTATTGGGTCAGTAACATGATTTTCTTTCTCATGACTTGTTAATGGCCCATCTTCCACCCAACTTTAATGAAACAACCTTGAACCACTAATAACATGTTTGATAGCTTTCAAAATATTATTTTTTTAAAGTAATTTTTTTTCCTAAGTTGTTTGGCCAAACTTTAATGAGTAAAACACGTTATTTGAAAACAAACAGAATCAGTTTTCGAGAAATAAGAAAAAAAGTAATTTCTTTTGTAAAGCATAACAAAAAGCATAAGCAGTTTTGTCTTTTTTTCTTACCAAAAATAACTACAAAAAATAATATATACTAAAATAATCGTTAAACATAATACTTAAAATTTTAATATATAAATATTTCTTATTATTTTTAGGATAACTTTCTAATATATAGTGATTTTAGGTATGAATAATTTTATATTTGTTTGAATAATTTTTAATATATTTAACTTATATTAAAAAAAATTAAATATTTTTCGGAGTGATAATCCTAACATAAACTGCTTAATTCTTTGTAAAAGTATTTTTTTCAAAAGAATTTTTGAAAAACAATATTCTCAGGCGACATCTTTGTTTTTTCTTCGGTCATAATATAAGACTTTCAGGGTGACTTAATAATGAAGAATGAATGTATAAAATACCACGAGAGTCAACAAATACCTTTTTTTTAATGGCAAAATCACTAATTTTTTCGCAATTTACATAACATTATAAGAAACCGTAACACATGAACCATATCCCAATAATTCAGAAAATATTGAAGCCTACTGCGATAAAAAAAATCAAATTTACTTGACAAAACATATACTGAATAAAGATATCATAATTAAGCTTTCTTGGAATGCAATTTCTTTTTTTTAAAATTAAACATCGGACGGTAAGGGAAATTATAGAGGGGATTGCAAGATGAAAAATCAAACTCTCATCAATAACTAAAAGTGAAAATTCAAGCAACGAACTAGCTATATTACTAAGATTATCCAAAATAGAGATTATGAATTTTCAAATGATAATTATAGTGTATTCTCGGATTTGGCCGGATTTTTTTCCATCTCTACTTTGGCTATAAATATATAATATTTTGCTTAGCCGAAAATGCATCGCGAACTTTCTTCTCGTCTCTGCCCGTATATATTTAGAATAAAGTTATACCCAAAAAGAATTATAATTTTTCTGTAAAAATGCATCATATATTATTGATTCTTCAGCTTCGAGCTCTGTTTTTTAAGGCGGATACATAAGAAATTCACTAACATGGCACACTCCGCCCTCCTCCCCCTCCTTTTTCTTAGTCGCACAAAATTCCCTCACAGTTTCCCTCCGATTGTCAGTTGTCT